TGCATGGAAGAAAAAAACACTCTAAATTTATCCTCATTAATTACTTGTGTGACGTAAAACACATGCTCATTTTCATATGGTGTTTTTTTGGATGCAATTCACTAGTTCAGCCACCAGATGTCTCTATAATCACACCTGAAAACTCCACAGCAGCCGATCCCGAATGGTGGGATTTCTGTGCCGGTCAGAGATTACTATTTGTCTGACTGGCATAAATTAGAGGCGTGGCTTATATTTAGAGGTGTGGCCCCTGTGTTTGACAGGTATGCTGAGTGTAGCTGCTGGGTGTCTGGTAGGCCTCAGGTCTGCTTGTGTGCACTTTTTATAATTACCCTCATGCGCACATTTTAACTGAAACTTTCACCATTAGGGGGCAGCACTTTGCTTTGTGTTGTGTGCCACTGTTTTTAACTCTTCTTTTTTAGCCATTCTTCAAGACATTTTCTTTTTCATGTTACTCTGTTAGAAAAGAGTGTGCTATTAATGACTTTCCTCTTTAAATAAAGGTTATACTGACTCGCTGCACCACCTTGTGGTACAAAGTAATACTATAAAACAAGTACAGCCTGGCCTTAGTTCAGCTTCAGGCAATCTCTCTTCAGCACAATACAGAAATGCTTTGAACAAAAGTCATAGCTGTTGTTTCTTCATATTCTTTTGAAGCTTTTAAATATTAAATTAATCACAGAAGTTTCACAATAAAGATATTTAATGTGATTATTGAGTTTCCTGTGCAGTTAATGGTGCTAACAGACCATCATCCATGTCGTGAATGAAATTCTAGTATTCTGTCAGGAGTGTGTGATGCACCTGTGCAGGCTGTAGACGCAGCTGGTTGTTCAAGCTGATAATTTAGCTGTTCCAACCTCGTGTCCAAATATCATCACTTCCAGCTAAAAAACGCTTATGTAGACGCTTCAAGATGGGTGATGCCACGATGGCTCCGCCCATCATTTATAAAGACTTACTAAAACCTTAAAACAGGTGGAAGAGTACAGCTGTCTGAAATGCAGCTGCTGTCCACAAACTTTTGGCTGTATTGTCTTTTTTTCTGTGACGTTGACTTTGTTAGCCGTTTCACCAGGACAACACTTAATGTATTTTGAGTCGAGGATGCGTGAAGCAGCATGAATCAGACAAATACGTTGGCTGACGGGCAGGATGAGTCTGCGGTCCAGCTCGGACTGTCAGGTTAATGAGGAGCTCTCAGACGAACAAAGTGTTCTGTACCTGAGGCGAGGCGGTGGCGTCAGAGAGACGAGCGGGTTCAGGCGGTCAGGGAGGATTTTGTTCTGTTGTGTTTGTGACGAATGACTCGGCCAGTGAGCTCGAAGGTGCCAATAATCCTGAGTGATTTACATCCAGGTGTCAGAGCGGGACTGACTGATGAGACTCAGTGGCGACTGTTTACTGAAATCTGTCTAAAAATACCGACCCTGAAGCCCCGAAGCCTAAATATACAACAAACAGGCGTTAGAGGAACAATATTCTAACTAAAGAAGAGTTTGTACAGTCTGCAGTGTCACAGCTTCTGATCTGTGCTGCTGCACATTTAAAACTGCAGCTGGAGGAAGAATGAACAAAGAAGAAAAAAGCCCAAATTCAAACACGAAGACGCTTTAACATCTTTAAAACACATAACAGCAAAGTGTGCAGTGGAGTTAATAAAGAGAAACAGGAGACGATGGAAGCTGCACTGTCACTGAACTGTTAGCATGTTAGTGAAATTAGCAGGTTTATATGACAGGTTATGTGTAATGTTGCTGACTTTAATGAACACTGATGGATTATATACTTTTTTTTAATTCAAGCTTTTGGGCCTCTGAACGTCTAGTTTAAATAAACTCTTTGAGTTAAAGCTGAAAGTCTGCACTTCAGTCTTATCCTGAAGAGGAAACAACATAAAAAACGCCTGTCCAGATATTTATGGACCTAACTGCATAAATGTAAATGTTTGATGTCATTTACAAACGATAAGGAGCATTTAGACTCTAAAATGTCCAGATTTTCCAGTAAATTATTACGTTTTAGGGATTCATATGTTCTGTGTGTAAAGCATGGACTGTGTGTTTACACTGTATACTCGGTCTGTGAAGGTCAAACTGCCCAGCTGCCGCCGCACACTCTGCAGACTAATGACTCACACTAAAGACATAACTGGGGCATTTTGAGGTGTTTCAGGGCAGATTTGCTGACGTGTTCGTGGTTTTGATGTTGTGGATGTTGTTGATGTCAGACGGCTGTAGAGCGTGAGCCGGTGGTTCGTCACATCAGTCGTGTGGGTGAAATGACGGCGGTTTGAGTCCCGTCAGTTTCAGAGCTGACAGCACAGAAAAATTAACTGTGTGAATACTGAGCTTCCTTTTGGTCTGCTTTAAATTCCTGTTTATAGATTTTATTCTTTATATGATATAATATATTATATATATATATGTGTGTGAACATGGACCAGAGGTACGGTGGCCCCGAGAGGTCAAATGTACTGGAACTTAAGAACACCAGCAAACAGAAAAATACTTCAAAAGCAGACAAAACACAAACGAAATAGGAAAAAACAACGGAGATTAAAAACAAACAAACAAACAAACAAAATCCCAGCTGTGGAAGTGACGATGAAAAACATGAAGGATGGAGACACTGATGATTCATCAGTGTAAAGTAAGAAGAAGCTGCAAGGTTGTGTGTGTTTCAATCACATGAGTCATATAATACTGTGTTTACTATTAGCTGTTTACTGTTAGCCTGTCGCTCCTGCAGCCGGTCCGACACGTTTTTGTCTCCCCAAAAACACTTCTGCTGTGTTTTGTGTGATTTTGCAGCATTTTAGTATTTGATGGTGTTTTTTTGAGTTGCAATGGATTTGACCTCTCAGGGCCACCGTACAGAAGCCACACTTTTTAAACACACTCCGGACAAATTAAAGTTACAGCTCTCTCTCTTTGCTGTTAGGTGAAGGCTTCAGACTAACTGCTGATAAAATGGCAGAGGCGTGCTTGTAAAAGGACTTTGATTTCAGGCACCTGTGTTAATCTGATGAGCTGTGATTAGCTGATTATACATGAACTCTCTTTAAAATATAGCTGCTGACTGTTTCCTTTGCAGTGGCCCTACTCGTCCAAGCCACTCGTGTCTTCTGCTTGTACACCAATCAGATTACAGCGCTGGTCTGTCATGAGTCTAATTATTTTGCTGTAATTAGTGCTCACCTGTAAGGTGACCCTCTTACCAGGGTGTTAATTGAGTATGTGTAGTGTGTTAAACATCTGCTTCTCAAAGTGTTTCTGTCTTTCTCTCACACACACACACACACACACACACACACACACACACACACACACACACACACACACACACACACACACACACACAGTTTCCCTGTCAGTATGCTGATATCAGCCTGCAGCTGTGAGGTTTCCCTCACTGAGAGCAGCCCAGTCAGAGTGCAGAGGCTCAGAAATGCTGATTATTTCAGTTTACAGTGAACGCTCCTCTGTGGGAGAAAAATGGTGCAGATTAGCTGGAAAATCACAGATTTTTGTAACCATGTGTGTGGTTTGTGTTGCACTTTTTACGACTTCATTACAGCTTTGTGAGTTTTTTGCAGCCAGGTTGATGTCTTCCATGTGAGAGACCGGTGGCAGTGACAGTCTGCTAGCACCAAAGCAGTAGGACGGAGGTTTTCAGTGTAGCATCGCGTTCCACTTTGTGACTAATTTTACTCTCCGGACTGCCAGCAACCTTCAGCAACCACTCTCAGGTAGTCAGCAAATACACATCAGTTTGTAGACTGGAGGTTGCCAGCTGGTCTCCACGCCTGTCTCCCTGTGAAGACCCTGGACGGGACTAATATGTGCTGGAGAGCTTGTGTCTCAACTGGATTGGGAACAGGATTTTTGTCATCCTGGAAGAATCAGAGGACGTGGCTGAGGAGAGTAAAATCTGTCCATGTCTGAATAGAGATAAGCAGAATAAAATGGATGAATTGATGGTAATAAACACTTGGATCTGTGTGATGTCACTGAGAGCGGATATCCCTAATATGGTAATCAGAGGCACACAGCTCCGCCTACTTTTAGTTTGTGTCTTCTTTTAAGGATATAGACACTTTAATGATGTTTTCATTCAGTGCCTCTGTGTTTAAAAAGATTGTCCTGACTGTTGTTCTGATCCTGACTGTCTGTCCTCTGTGGAGCTTTTACCTTCCTCAGGTCCTTGCAGTGTCCTTGAGTGAAGGTTGAATTCCTCGCTTTTCCTTCCTGTTTGCAGTCATTTGAAGATCCTCGTGGTTTGAGGAATATCATTTTCATTCTCGCTCTTCTTTGTTTCCATGATTCGGTCTTGTGGAGGCAGAACTGTAGCTGTGATTAGAGACCATCCAGAGAAACTTGACATGTATTAGACGTGCAGAATAATAAACACACAAAGCCTGCTCCTCTGGGGTCGCCCCGAGCTTCCAGTTCACAGGGTGATGAACCCCGCTGCAGGCTCTGAATATTAAATCAGCACCTCTGGTCACCAGGAAAACATTCAGCGTCTCTTAGAGGACAGAAGGCCAAAAAGCTCCAGTGATTCTATTTGTCCACCTGTTCATTACAGTTAAAATGCACGTAAGCATGTTTGTCACATGGTCATTCCTCCAACTTTGTTCTCTTCATTTACTTTAAAGTGAGGATGTGAAAAAATGCCGATGTTACAATGACAGTGTGTCTTTTTTATTCTTTGGAGTGTTTCAGAGATATAAGTCAGGATTACTGCCAATAAAATAACTCTTTCAGCCAGCATCATCAGCAGGATTTAAATTCATAGTATGCTCGTTACCCCCGAGATCTTCAGCCTCGTAAAGAGATGAAGGAGCTCAGCGCTGGCCTTAGATCTGTGCAGATGTCGCTATGACAGCCTCCATGGTTCAAGCTTCACATCACGATGTTAGCAGAGCCTTTAATCCTTACATCACTGTGCTTGTTTTTATAAAGCCTTAAAGATGAAAAGTACTTTTTGTTTTCTAATTTCTGAGCTATTTAATCACTAAATAAGATGCAAAATTAGCACTGATGCAGCACCTCATGTAATCTGAGAAACAGACAGGCTCTGTGGATTCTTGTCAACATAAAATAAAAGCTTTTCTATCCAGTGAGAGAAACTGTGAGGTCTTACTGGATAACTAAGTTCCAGTTTTTTTTGAAAATCTTGTCAATAATTTCCTCTGTGATCTTAAACAAAGAGCTGGGTGTCGTTTCCAGGCGGCACAGAAACATCAGACTTTGTGTTTCAGTAAAACTTGTTGAGTTCTGCCGTCGTGGCTCCTGTGACGTAAACAGAGAGTATATCTCAGGATAAAACGAGGTTTCACAGCACTGAGGCTGGTCCAGGATCAGTGGATGCTGTAATAAATTGGCTGTTTGCACAGCGAGGCCTGACACATCTGCTTTACTTGGTCATTTTTCCGCTTTAGGCAAAGGTTAAAAACAAACCTTTCTATCCACCGTCCGCTCGTCTCGCTGACCTGTGGACGCAGCGCTGACTCACAGCGTTTAGCTTTCATAACACCTCGAGCCACAGAGTCACAAACAGCTGAGCTGTGTATGACGAACACTGTGGAAGTGTCCCGCTGCTTAATCTCTGCCCACAGGAAACGCCTCACATCAGCCCAGAGGTGTTTCAGCGTGTCGGGCTTCTCTCACATCCTCTCCTCTTCATTTGTTATGTGAGATGTTAAATCTGCACAGTCTTGAAATGTATGCCGATAAATGTAATCCAGCCTCAGTCGTTTGCTGAGGACGGTTGGATTTAGAAGATGTGAGGTTACACCTGTGGATAATCCTGGTGTGATACAGGTGATAGTCCACCTACTTATCCACATCACAGCAGCATCCCTGGCCAGTGCGCTGTCCAAGCAGAAAATCAGGTTGACACGGCGTTGCCGTTTTTACCGCCTCCTCACGCACGGCTGTCAGAGCGCGCTGACTTGATGCGTGCAGTTGGGCCGTCACCGGATTGTCAGGAAAGATGAATTTCCTGGTCCTGAGGTGGATTCTGCGATAAGGTCAGCCGGGAGACGGGCCCATGTTAAATGGCTGCTCTGTTCGTCTGAGAGGAGGGAAAACACCACACAGAGATGTTGCCTGGCTGGTGTTTATTCATGACAGTATAGACAGCCCTAAGTTTGTTACTGACCCTCTTTTAGCCTCTTTCATCTCCTCCAACTCTACAGGGAACTAACGAGACCACTAAATGCACCAGTGCGCCTGTTTTCTGCTACAAGCAGTTCACTGTCAGAGTCTTTTCTACCTGATGCAGGTAAAATGACGACTTCGGAGCAGTTAAAGTGAACCAAAACAGTGATGCTGAAACCAGATATCTAAGATCACTGTTGTCTTTTGTTTACAGAGTAAAGCAGTAGAGTAACAACACTGCGTTTAGTTTGCTCCAAATAAGAAAACACAAACACCTAAACGTCCATTTTACAGTTCAAACCTCAAACTGGAAAAGCTGCACAGAGCACATCCAACCATCCGTCCATCTTTTTCCACTTCCAATGAATTTGAATTCAATTCAGTTTTATTCATATGGTGATAAATGACAACAGTCACCTCAGGTGCTTTATATTCTAAGGAGCAACCCAACAATTTAAAGTTACCTTAAAATATTGATCTGTTTTAGTGCTGGTGTCTTCTTGGTGTCGAGCTGTATTTGAGCTGTTGTGTAATCGTGGTCTGTGGCTCTCACAGCTCCTCTATGATGGATGACTTTGCCCGTGTGCTGTGTGTCACTGTAACAGCAGCAAACAGATGTTGGGTTCAGAGGTGCTGCAGCACCTTACTGTCCTCCGCGTGGGGACTGCAGCTGTGAATCCGGCATGGATTTGGACTTCTCTGCGGGCCGCACGGCTAACTGAGCGCTGTCTGAACAGATCGCCCTCAGCTCTGGAACTGTCACCTCTGACGTCCCCATTACTCTGCTCTTTGACAGATGCACCCTTAAAAAGATAGAAGTTATGGGTTTACAGCTCAGGCAGCCACACTGGGACCTTGACGAGTCGACAGTATGTGGCATCGAGGGAAAAGCTGCTGTTTGAACGGAAAGTGATGGAGATGCTCATTCTGTTTGGATAATTTCTGTCAGCCTCACCTCAGACTAACACCACCACATCCAGGAAGTGACTGAAATATGAAGGAAGCAGTCATAATTTTGGACTCCAGTGGAAGTCAGAGTCCCGCGTCATTAAACCCCGACTGATGCTGAAGGAAAGCCCAACATGAAGCTCTTAGAGTCTAAAATCATCACTTTCACGCTCACTTTGAACCATTTAGGGAGCCCTCGGATCCTGAGTGGAAGCAGTTTGTGCACCTGGAACAATCAGATGGGCCAAATCAGTAAAACTGTCTAATCAGCTATAAAAACAAACCGAGAAGATAAAGCGTCCATTTATAAACCTAACAGTTAGAGCACTGTCACAGAGGCAGCATTCACCCTCTCTCTGTATATTCACACATTTCAGAGACCTGCTAAGCACTTCCAGGAACTCTCTGAAGTCTGCGTGACCCATGTGATGACCTCGCCTTCTGAACCCCGCTGATTCGACTCTTACAATTCGAGGTCCGTCACACAGATGACCACGAGGCTTCTCCACAGCTTCCCTTAGACTCATTATCGCTCGCTCCAGCCAACCACTCCAATAAAAACCACGACCTGACATCCTCCGGTTCAGCACATCGAAGCCTCCTCAAGCACGCCGTCGCCCCCTCTCCTGCTTCCCTCTCCTTGGCTGATGTACGGCTGCGGAGGTCGCGGCGGCCGACCCTCTGCAGAGCGCTAAACACTCACCCACCTGGACTGCTGACAGGTTCATCTGCTGCTCGGTGGGCCTAATAGACAGGCTGTATGAGGTGTGTGTTTCCCCGTCAGCGCTCGTGTCGCCGTCTGCTTCTCGCAGCTAATTGAGCGACCGGTTGTGCGGCAGATGGTGATGAGAGCACACCGAAGCGATGACTCTGGGACTTTTCTCAGTCTTTAGTTTTTCCACATCCATAATAATAATAATAATAATAATAATAAGCTAATAATTTTAGCTTACAGCTACTGTTAAGCTACACTTAGCAAACGGTTTTACTGCTAGCAAAACATTTAGCTGATAATTTCCAGTTTTTTATGTTTAATGGTTTTAGCTAGCTGTTTAAGTGTTTAGCTATTTCATTTCTTTATCCGTATTTTTAACTGGCAAATTCAACTTATGCGCTTTTTCACAATCTTATGTAGTTATTTAAAATTTTTATACTTCATGTTTAGCCGCTAATTTAATTTCTTTTTTCATATTTTTAACTTCCATAATAATTTCCACTTTTATTTATAATTTTGATGAGCTATTTCCGATGTTAATCTGATATTTCTGTATGACGCTAAAAGTTTTGTTTCAGTTTTCAGGACAAGTGAAGAGAATAATTTGTTAGCAAGCACCTTTTTTTAAAATCACACTTTTAGAGCTTTTATATCATACCTGTTTGAACCGTTCATTCTTTTGCCCTTTTATATTGCAGCTACCACTTTTTGGCTCACGCCTCTTCAGGCTCACTCAGATTAATCGGTAGTTTCTTTTTTTGTTGTTGTTGTTTTTCAGATTATTCCACATAATCTTGCTTGGTGTTGAACCTGCAGGGGTTCTTCACCCTGTGTTAGGCAGGTTAAACTACGTTCATACTGACTTCATGACTTTCAGCCTTCGAGGTGCCTGCACTGCTGTGTTTCCAGGCTTCAGCCTACACAAACATACTCCATTACACATTATATTTCTTTTTCTAAGGATGCTCCTGGAGGGGAGGGCAATCTTTGATCTCCAAGGTACTATGACTCCAGGTGCTGTCACCTGTAAGTCCACTGTTTAAACACCCTGACTTCATTTGTGATCTGCTCACACTGCGCTGTTTCTCTGCAGGGGGAAAGAGAAGAAGCCGAAGGCCCCGAGGACGCTGATCACTGCTGACGGACGAGTCTTGAATATCAATGAGCCCAAGTACGAAACGAGAAACAGAAGCAGGTTTTCCATCCTCACTGTGATGGAATGTTTGTTGCAGCAATACATGACAACTTGCTGCATAGATGATTGGGATCAGATCTTTAAGTATAACATTTTAAAGCCCTGACTGATCAACAGGTTCAATTTGTATTTTGGAAACAATTATAAAGGAAAGCTGCAGGTCCACAGTTTCTATCACAGTTCTTCTTCATATCTGTCATGTTTTTACTTTGGCTCAGTGAGGCAGGTGAAAACTTATCAGGTGCTTTTTCTGGTCCACTTGCTGTCGTCCTGTTGGGGAAAAACATGAACGCTTGCAGGCAACCCCGCTCCTCCTCCATTATCCAAACAGTTTATATCATGAGCAAGGCCACAGGGGTCGAGGCCTTAAAGCGCGCCTGATTTCATTGGTAATCTGATCTTAGGACACGCTCGGGTCAGGAATATATGCTTTATGTGATATATCACCTTACTGCAGCGGGGCGACAGCACGCCGTGCTTCACTGCAGCCTGTCTCGTAGCAGCCAGCTCAGTAAAGATGCACACGAGTGGCCGGGAACGTCACATGCTGCAGAAACAAGTTTAAGCCATAAAATAATGTGGGTTTGACCAACCTCACCGTCAGGGTCGTCTCACAACATCCAACTTTAGAGCAAAAAGAAACACATTTACAGCCACCTGCAAAAAAAAAAAACCAACAGTTTGGGTCTCCACAGCTAATTTTCTCCTTTTTAAGCCTGCATGGTTTTAACTAAATACCCTGTTTGGATTTTAAGTTGATGTCTGTATCGCAGCTAGAATCACAGGACTGGAAGGCACCAACAGGAAGTCTACTGATCGGACTTTATCTTCAGTCATCTGTCACTTATGGCTCCAAAAATGAACATCGTGGTGACAAAAACTGTCTTTGAGCTTTCATAATAATTTGTCCATCTATTATATACAGTCTGTGGAGGCACGGTGTAGATAGCAGTGTTTACATGTAAAACTTTTCTTCTGTCATTTAATGGTCGGGCATTGTACAGCTACAAGCATTTCACCCCCATGTCATACTGTGTATGGTTGTGTGTGTGTGACAAATAAAATTTGAATTTGAATTTGAATTTGAATTTGAATTTGAATTTGAATTTGAATTTGAATTTGAATTTGAATCAGTGTCATGTGTCCTGGTTTGAACATCTGGGTTGCTGCTCTCTGTGTTGTTAACAGGCTGGATTTCTGTCTAACAGAAGATGAAGAAAACAACACGATTATCTTGGACCTGGAAGTTTACAGGTAGGAGCACAAACTCTCTGCAGCTTCATTTATCAAAGTTAAAAACCAATCATGTCTTAAATGGGGGTTCAAATGGACTGAGCGAACAGACCTGTTTTATCAGTCCATATTTAATGGTGAGACACAGAGTTACTCTCAGTTTTGTCAAATAATATTGAACCTTAGATATCGATAAAGGAAAAAGCTGTACCTCGTTTTATTTTAAAATACAACTTCTTGCTGTAAATGAGATCTGTGTCTAGTCATGGTTTGTCTTCGTGTGTGTTGTGTAGCTGGTTTCTGTCTAATGTGGTGGCTGTTTGCACCAAATCCGATTTACCGCAGCCACATCGAGTCAAATTGATTTAAACTGTGGTCGGAGCTCAGGTTGGGAAACCCATCACGGTGCTTCTTTCACAGAGACGGGCTTTTAGATGTCCGACCAAAACTCTCCACCCGATCAGCTGATCAGCGTCTGTACCTGTCTGTTTTTATAATGACTGACCTTCCTCTTCGCACAGACACATGGACACCTCTTTGATCGATGTGGACGTTCAGCCGTCGTACGCCAGAGTCAGCGTCAAGGGAAAGGTGCGCTGTAAAGCTTTTATTTTTATATTCAGATTAACTGGTGACCTTTCAGATTAGGTGATGCCTAATTTGAAGTTTAGCCTGTGCGTAGTTTTGGCTGCACACTCTGAACTTTACAACAAATCCATTAATTTGGGGCTTTTTCCATCATAAAGGGCAGCAGCAGCCACTTAGAGTCAGTCATTAAGTCTTTGTCAGCTTGTTAAGTTTGTTGTTCAGACCCTCACTCACCACCGTTTCCATCATGCAGATATTCACAGTCACAGTTACGCTCACCTTACTCGTACCTGATTGGACACTTTTTCCCGTCAGAGCTGTCTGAATACTTCGTGGCGTAGATTCGTCAAAGAGCTGGAAACATTCCTCAAACATTTTGGTTCATATTTTTATGACAGCATCACAAAGTTTCTCCAGATTTGTCAGCTGCACATCCTTAAAGTGAATGTCTCGTTCCACCACAGCCCTACACTGCTCTGGGCTGAGACGTGGTGACTGTGGAGGCCATGTGACTACTGTGAGACAGTCAAAGAGAGATGCTTTCAGCTTGAGCATAAAAATAGCCCCCACCTCATGACACCAGCAGCAGCCTGAGCCTTTCATACGAGGCAGGTTGGAGCTTTGCTTTCATGCTGTTGGCACCAAAAATCGAGATTCATCACATTCAGAAATGCATAAGAAAATGATTCAGTGCAGTGAAAACATGTCACAGCCAACTCAGTACAATGTGAAATTTTTACCTGGATGAGTGTAAGAGAATTTTAGCTGTCCAAACTGTGCTGTGCATATTAAAACCAAAGAAAAGTGAATAATAATAGTAAATATTCAGAAGCAGGTCTTTGTGCACAGTTCTTGGTCGGTGCCTCTTAGATTGATCGTTTTTCCCCATGTTTGTCATCATATTTAATGTTCATGTCTCTGTGTTTTTGTGTCTTGGTCACTTCCTGTTTGAAGGTTAGATTCTGACGTGACTTCCTGTCTTTGTTTTTGCTCCTACACCTGCTGCTGTTTGCACCTCGATCTTCAGCCAGACCTCTGAGTCTTTGTCTTTGCTTTCCTCTGGTTGTTCACTTTGTTTGTTACCGGCTCGTGTCCTCAGAGCTCCAGACTCCACTTTCATTCTCCTCTCATTCACACTGGAAGCAGGCCAGTTTAACCACAGACTGCTGCTGTCAGCCAGTGAAGGTCCTTGTGCTCAAGGGCACTGCGACAGTAGTTCTTGATGAAGATTTTCCTAAACGTATTTCCACGTTGCTCTGGGATTCAAACCTGTGAATTTTGAAGGCTCTAGGAGCACAAACAGGAACAAATCAGCAAATCTTTTCCCGTGTTGCTGAGTTGAGGTAACTGTGCACATGTTACTTGCAGTTTGAGGTATTTGTACTTACTGCAGATATCTGTTGGCCTCTAAAGTTTACAGGAAGCACTTACCAAGCAGTATGTCCTGCATAGTGCAGCTCTGATTTCTCACAGTGAGGAGTTCAGAGACTGCAGGCAGCAGCAGACTCGCTGCAGGCCGACACCAAACTGGAGCAGCTCCCCTTTCAGCAGCACCACAAAGCCAGAGAAGGTCTGAGATGAATGCACATATTTCTGTCTGCAAACAGAAACTGAGAACTAAAGTTTTCAAATTCAATCGCTGATGAAAAATATGATGTGTGGGCCCAAGCACATAGTTTACATACAGAGCTTTAAGGTTGGTAATAAATCTCAGTGCTTCACGACAGACCCAGCATATGAAAGCATTGAAGATGCACATGTATAAATAACATGTTCATAATCCATCACTGCCATGAAAGTGCAAGAAAGAAGTTTCGTTTTCATCTCAAAGGACAGACCGACTTTCATTTACCAGTTGAATGTGACCTGGAAGAAGAGGGTCATCAGTATTAATTCCTAAATACAAAGAGAGTTCTGAAAAAGTTGGAATGTAAATAAAAACAAACTCCAATAATATCCAGGATTGTTTATATATGTAAAAATATATAACATACATCAAATATAGCAGTGGTCCTGGAACCGAACCCTGTGGCACACCTTTAGTTATATTAAGCATGCTAATGTAAAACAAACAAAGGAAGAAGAATAAAACCAGGAAGACAAATGTTAAAAAAACAGGTAGCATGTAAGAACTGTAAAGGTGTGTGGCCCATATCATCATGTAACACATGGAGCAGTGAGGAGCTCACCCAGCTGCTATAAAGTAGTAAAAGTGAGACTTCTGACCAAACCTCCTCGAGCTCTTCTCTTTTTCTCCTACAATCTCAGTTTTCCGCTGTGTTTTGAAACACTGCCTGTTAATGCAGAGATCTGTCTGCAGTGTGGAGGATGTACGGACGACTGACTGCTGTGATGTTGCTTGTTGGGAGCAGCGGGAACGTGTGATAGATGGAGGAGCAGATTTACAGAACATAACAGGCCTCCAGAATCTGCTGAATCATCAAACCTATGTGACGTCGGTATTTTTGGAAAGAGTTTTAATATGCCTACTATGAATTCATTTCCCAGATGGAAACTGTTTTTTTTTCTCTGTAAAAATGGCAGCTGTCCAGAACAAATGCACCACAAATGTGCTCTGTTCAAGCACACACCTTTACGATCAGTAATCAGTCGAGTCTCCTGCAGCAGAAGTGGAGCCGCTGCAGCCCTGCTGGAGGTTTCCTGCAGTCTGACAGGTTTATTGTGACAGGAGCCTCCGTCCTGCGCATCCACTGCATTTTCTCCCACGTCTTCCAAAGCTGCTAATTTATTTATGTTTTTAGGAATTGATTTCTGAGGAAAACAGTTACTGCATATGTATTCAGTCATATGAACAACAGCACCTGACATATTTAGGTGTGTCATTTATTTAACAACTAAAAAATGCAGAAGCCATGTGTGAAAAACCGATTCCATCCCGTGAAACTTGTCGAACCACCTTCAGTGCAATAACCTGCAGTAATCATCACTTCATCAGTCTCTCACATCGTTGTGGAGAAATCTTAGCCCACCTTTTTTACAGCAGTTGTTCAGTTCATTGAGATTTGAGTGAATTCATTTATGCACAGCTCAGGTTGAGGTCTGGACTTTGACTGGGTCATTGCAACACTCTGATTCTTTTCTTTGTAGACTTGCTGCTGTGCTTGTGATCATGGCGTGATGCATGACTCACTTTGAGCCAAGCTTCATATTTGACTCTTTAATACTTTGGCATACAGAGGAGTTCATGGTTAACTCTGTGACTGCGAGGTGCTCGAGTCATCAGCCTCCTCCACCATGCCGACAGTCTGTCCTGATAACTGTTTGGTTTCCAAACATCTCCACTTTGTCTCGTCTCTAATCTGTGCTGCCATGTTGTTTTTAAAGAGAAGAGGCTTTCTCCCTGTAACCCTCCAAACAAGCTAAACTTGTTCAGTCTTTTTCTAATTGTACTGCCATGAACTCTTAAGATGCTAACATGCAGAGTTCTCGGGTTTCTGCTGTTTCTCCGAGCATTGCACACTCTAACCTTGATAGTAGTTTATTCCAGTTCTGTTTATTCCAGCAATCCTTTCCTGTGAAAGTAGTAAAGATGTACGTTAGTGAGCTGAGCATGAACACCTCAATGACCTGAACCAACATTGTAAAAAAGGGCCAAGACTCCTCCACAGTGACGTGAGCACTGATCACATCACTGTCAGTACTGAAAAAGAGAAGTTAGTCATTCCTGCTGCAGGTGCGGTGGACTCAGTTTTTCTCACGGCTGCAGAGGAGACTGTATACAACTGCAGCCGTCGTTTTCAGCCCCAGATGTTGCTGCTTTGCATTGACTTCTGCTGCTTTAAGCCTGGTTAAACAGCTGTTTCACCACACGATGAACTTTTTTCCCTCATGAATTCGGAGCCCTGCAGCTTCTGAGTTCTTCTTCTCGCTGCCAGACTCCTGAATGTCATGGCCGCACTTCAAGCTGTTACAGTGTTTATGGATGGCTGTTGTGTGCCAGAGGTCGTCCTGATTGGACGGGCGGGGTGATTTACGCAGTGATACATCAGTCCGGGCTTTCAAAATTCGTTTTTAATACGAACTCGTTGAGAAGAGCAGGGAGAATTGACTGGAGGAGCCATCTGTGAGGAGTGTATATCACATCAGACACGTCTCACACTCTGCAGCTGAAGAGTTTTCCTCCTTAGTGTGGCTTTCCTCACATTCCCCCTCATAATCAAATTGAATTAAATGAAAAAAATGAAAAAGTCCAATTTTATGCCCGATTTGTCGTCCCACATGCTTGATTCTGGTTTCCATAGGCTTCCTCTCCTGTGATTGATCGCCGCCGTTCTGTTTTGGAGCTATTCTGGTCACTCTCTCTCGAGTCCTTTCTGGAAAGCGTACCTATAAAAAGACCCGCTAATGATTAAAGTCATTTGACACACTGGGATGGCGTCGGTGCCAGATCAGCGCATTAATCTTACTAATTAAAGTTGTGAATAATTTACTCTGCAGATATTTCAGGTGGTTCTGCCGGCCGAAGTGAAGCCCGACAGCTCGACGGCTCAGAGGTCCCAAACCACCGGACACCTCCTCCTGACAATGCCCAGGGTACGTACAGGTACACGTCACACCTGAGCCAGGTACGGGACGCTGCAGCAGGAAGAGGTTAAAAGGCTGCTGCAAAACTTCACAGAGAACTTTTGCTTCTTTGGGATGTTTTCTGAAAGGTTGGGACGCTTTGTAAAAAGTCAGATTACAGTGATTTATCCTGTTACAGTTTGAGCGCTGATGATTGACTGTGTGTGGACCTACGACTGTTCCCTGTTCTTTTTTCACTTGTTCCTCTGAAGATCAGTCGTATTAAACTCAGAGTTTTAATAAAGAAACTCTTTACTGCGTCTATAACAAGAAAAACAGGTGCTGATGCTGCAGCATCGCAGCAGCTGCTGCTATTAATCCTCCATATGGCTGTTAAATCCTGCAGCAGAGCGCCTGTAAAGAGTTCAGAAACCAAAGACTGAAAGCTGTTTGTGTCGTCTTTTTCTTCTTTTTCAGGCTGAAGGTGAAATCAAAGTGACGAAGACCGTCCCACGTCCACCCAGAGTGCGTCAGAACAGACGCAGCGGCGGCTTATCGGAAGATGATCAAAGGTAGCTTCAGTGCACAGAGCTCATGATCACACATCCACACACTGTTGGACAGGAAGGAAACAAATATTAACCTCCAGTTTCTTTTTAATAATCTTTATGATGAGCTAAGAAAGCAAATGCAAGGATGGAATAAAACATTAGAGATAAAGAGACGTAACTTTAAGCACCGCGACAGATGAAAACAGAAATTCAACCTTTAATCTTTGGTGTAAAGTGCAGCGCACATCAGCGTTTCACAAACTGAGGCCACGCTGGGGTGAAGTACTTCTGTGAAGGTAAGTTAGTATTTTTAGAGCACGTTTGAAAAACACCTTTAAGAACCAAAGTACGTCAAACGGCTCAACATGAAGGGCAACAAGAGACGAATACAAGTACTGAACATCTGCACGGTGGTGTCTGCAGGCTCATGTTTACACGTGACTTTATTAAACATCAAGTAAAAGAAGAGATTTACCAAACAGCTCCTCCAAAATAAAACATGTTTATCATCGGTGAAAGGTCTGGACTGTGCTGTTATAATAACTGCAGGATGCCTTTTAGCTTCCTAATGGAAATAAAAACATTATTGCCTTAGTTTTGCTGTGTGACTGTCCAAAGATTTAGATCACCATTAAACCAGATGCTAAAGATTCTCAGCAGCCGACTCAGTTTGCGAGTGTCAGAGGGTCTAATAGGCAGGTTTATCTGTCTGTCATCAGCATAGAAATGAATCACAGCTGACAGAAAGGCAGAGGTCAGTCTGCACATACATTACATGTAACGTATGTGCAGACTGACCTCCTTTTGTCCTGTCTTTCTTCCTTCACCCCAAACGGTGGTCAGCCCTTCCAGAGCCTGGTTCTGCAGGTTGTTTCTTCCTGTTGAAAGGGAGTTTTTCCTTCCCACTGTCGCCAAGTGCTTGCTGATACACTGTATTGAGGTTTTCTCTTTAATATTGTAAGATCTTTACTTTGAGCACCTTGAAAAAACTGTTTGATTTGTGATTTGATGATTAAGTGAAATTTAACTGGGCATTAGTTTCTTAAACTGCAGGAATAATGTTATGTGATACATACAACTTTCTATTTGTGATGGTAATAGATGATAAACAGTCAGAAATACTAAGTTTATAATACTATTAGGGCATAAAGAGGTGCAGCCTGCAGGCTGCTCTGTGTTTGTGTGAATGAAGTCGAGCATTGCTGGCTGTGGTGTTAGTCTGAGTTTGGCCTTGAGTTTAATACGCACATATTTAAACACCTCTGGCTCATCAGGCCCCCGTTGCCCTGATTACAGACGCCTGTTGTATTTTAAACACTGAGCGTGACTCATTTTATCAGCCGTGTTCATGATGGCGCTCTCCCTGCTCGATGACCGTGTGCTGGGCGGAGATAACCTTGACCCACGCGGCATCATTACACTTGGGAGGAAGTGAGGAAGAGGATTCTCCACAGTGAAACGTGTCTGTGCTGCTGGGCTCATATTTAGCTGCAGGCTGCTGAAAACAGCTGCTGCAGACCACCAAACTGTGAATGTGACCCAAATCCCACTCTGAGAGAAAAGAACAATTACAATTATTTTTGGTTGAATTTAAACCATTTTTGTCCTTTGAAGCACTTGGAGCTGGTTTGGCTCACCATTCTGGTAACATACCGCTGTTACACTTTTTAATCATTTTATATAAAGTTAAAGGAACAAACCTGAGTCAGCAAACACCTTTTTCATATCTTGTCTCTATTTAAAAGCCTTCAGCTGCCCTCAGACAGCATCTGCATCCCCCTCCTGTGTTTCTGTCAGATAGTTGGAGACCCTGAACTGCAGGACTGTTTGTGCTGTTTTCATGCAGTTATCTATTAAATAATATGACTGTTGCAGACTATTTGAGAAGCTTGTGCTTCAGTAAAAATCACAATCATATACATCAGGAGGGGAGCAGGTGTATTTTTACTTTCAGTGTATGAGAGAGGTGTGGTCACGGCTGAAATATACACACATGTATGTTTCAGTGTTTGTGTGAGATTTAAAAATGAGGAGAGGGATCGGAGATGTGGCTCCAACAGAGCAAGATGGCCATAAAGGTCCAAAATGTGTGTAGATCATCTTTTATATACAGTCCATGTTCTGGTCAAAGCTGTGAATTTGTAAACGTGCAACTTTAAGAGTCAGGAGAGAAGATTTGGAGTCTTTGTGTTTGTCTCATCTTCACTGACTGAAACATGAACGATCAGCAGCTCCTCTTCCTCTGTGAGGTGATGAAGCTCTCACTGAGGTTGAGCTCAGCTTCACCTCTTAACGACCACATTAGTCTGCAGAGCCGTGTAACTGATCCCCCGCTCCCTCTGCATGCCTGGAGGTGTGCTCTTCACCACGCTACCATCATCATCATCATTACTGCTTTATGACAGAGTCGCTTCCTGTCCTTCATCTGTCCCCATCAAACTCCATAAAGAGTCCCAGTGCAGTCCTGGACTCTCGATATAAATGCTAAGGTGACAGGTGAGCTCCGCTGCTTCCTGCTGACTTATTGCATAGTTTCGATATGATAAGGCGTGACCTTTGACCCCTGGGCCTTTAGATTCTGTATTCTGCCTCGGGTGTGCACGGAAATTGATCTGAAGGCCCTGATCGGGTTTGAAATGGATTTTCTTGATGGCACGAAGCAGCACTAAGTGTAAAATAGACTCAGATATAATCTCAGACCCTCGGCTCACAGCGCCATTGATAAGTGGATCTGAAAGGTTAAAGGTCAAGGTCACCTGGAAAGCCCAGTCTGGGTTGTTATAGTAAACTCCCTGAGGTTACATTATTTGCAGATAAACAGAATTAAAACAAATTTTTATCTCCCCTCAAAAATGAAGTAATCAGTCTAACAGCTGCTAAATTACTGTTTATTTCCCAAAATCCAAAGTTCTGATTTCCGATCACGTAAAGCAGAAAAATTTAAACTCTTGATAATTCTCCACCTAATTTGGCAAATAAAATTCAAACATTTTAGGCACCCCAGTCAAGTTGGTGACCTTTGACCCTTCCACCTCACCACCTCTGACCTCGTGACCAAACTTGGCAGGAAACTTGTTAGATGATGTGTGTGGTGTTAGAACCCTGTTAGATGTTCCCAGGCGGGTAATATGGCGTGCTCTCTGCCTCAGTACCCACGAGGACCTCCACTATGAGTGACCAATGACAGGAAGCCATGTTGGACTTTCTAACCAGGCTGGGCAGAGGAGGCCCGGGACTAGCAGCTCCATTTTTATTTCTTATTGTTCTCTTTCTTTCATTACAGTTTTAAATGTATTTACTGTGTTCACAGTTCAAGGAAAGAGAAGAATTTCCTTTCTATCCATCATTGAACCCATAAATGGTGAATCTGGACTGTTACCAACTGAACTGGGTCCCACAAAGCCCCCAAAATCAAAGTCTGGAAATTTCTAGATCAGTATTTGGGAGGTTTTGTTTTTTTTATATTTAGGGTTGTTTATTCTCTTTCACATCCAGGCTGAGCTAGTACCTGCACTGATGCAGAGGCTGACAGCTCTCTGATTTAATCTCATTTCTAATTTTCTATTCTTCTAAAAATTGCTTCTAATTGAAATCTGTCTGTTTTCCATATTTGAAAAGAGGACCGTCAGCTGTTCATAATTCACGTTAATCTTTTTATTAAAAAAACAAAATTAAAATAAAGGCTGTTTGCGCACAGCGGACTCCAGACTCTTCTAAATGTGACACTTACAGTTTTCATTTCAGTGAGGCAGATCTCTGTCGGAAAAAAGAGTTCTGGAGTAAAGGTTGTTCCTCTAAATCAACCTAATCTTTTAATGAAACCTCTCGGGGCACCATGTGCCCATATCTACATGACATGGACTTCCACAGCCGATAGGTGGGCATATTAAAGTAGATCGACCTTCACGTTCAGCTCTCTTTTCACCACAACAGACCGTCTGTCGCTCTCGTCCTTCATTATTCCAGGACTCTAAGATATTTGAACCTCTCCACACGGAGCCGCTCAGAACATCATGGACACTTCTGCAGTACCACCTCCAGCCGAAAAGTATCCGTCCCACATTGAGTTTACCTTTGTAGTTCAGCACAAGGCTTTTAAAAACTGGCTGTAATGTGTGTTTGCAAGCGATCCATTAAAGCCTTTGAATCTGCACTCAGGTTTAAATCATATTTTTGTCTTATCAAAAAAGTCCACATCAGGAAGAAGCTCGGTATCTGCGCATTAACCTCGTCTCTCTGCGTCCACGTGACTCGTTTAGCCTGGTTCTTATCTTAACGTGAGCCGATGGGGTTCAGATCAGACCCGTGACATCACCTCACATCCACTCCAAAACCTAATCCTCTGTGGATCGGTGGCCGCAGACACTGAACAGAACCCGCTGATGTTGTTACTGTGGCTGAGTACAACTCAATTACATCCCCATTACCGAACTGAGAGTGATAACCCTGCAGGAACTCCGTCCGATAAAAGCTTAGTCATAGTTATTTTCCTGCAGACTTCATCAGCACTCAGGTTACTCTGAGAGCTCATGAACTTCCAAAGTTTCCTGCATTTCTACTCGGTTCTGCAGTATTCACATCTATAAACACTGTGCTGAGGCGTAACGAGGTCTAAGAAAGTTTATGAAAGAAAAGTTGATGGGAGAACACGAGCACACCTGTGCACAAGTCTGACCCATATGTACAAACATATTTGAGACACACGGTGAGGCGCTGACTGGAAGCCAAACTTGAAAAATACGAAACCTTGTTTACAGAATCAGACTGGAGGTGAATTGGTTCGAGTCCTTCTGTGATCAGTTAAGATATCACAGTATCAGACGGTCCCCTATCGACGTGGCATTGGTGGGGAGGAAGAGCTCCCTTCTAACAGGAAGAATAATGTGGCAGAACCAAAGTGAGGTGCAGGAGGACTGGTTGGGGGCGGGGTGGGTCAAAAAAAGACAGAGTTAAAAAATGAGGGAATAAAGCCAAACTAAATGAAAACCAAAAATATTCCAACACGACACAAAACAGCCGACAGCTCTAAGTCTAAATGCAGATTCACTGGGCGGCTATAAGGGAGCTGTTATTTCCCAGCAGCTGCTGTGACTGGTACGTCACTGCTGCAGGATATTGTGCATGTGGAGCAAAGCAAAGGGGAACTGTGACAGAGTGGCATTAAATTCTTCCACATTATGATCATATTTTTCCAGGTTTGGTTGTTGGACTCTGGAAACATCCTGTCTTACAAACCTGTTTGACCACAATATCAAATGTACTAAACGTTCATTTCTGAAATTCGACACGCTTGCTTTCTCTGTCCGAGGTTTTCCTGACGCGGTGTGTTTTCTCTACAGTCCTCTGGCAGCTTTATTCCCCTCTTAATAAACAGGCGGGAGAATGCAGAGAGTAATGAAGGGGCTCCTCGTCCTCCTCCTGCGTCCTTCTGATGTTTATTGTCAGCTGCTGTGCAGAAGATTAAATTATAGTAGCAACGCTCTTCCTGGAAAATTTTACTAAAAGGAAGCCTAATTATTGGAAGAGCATACGCTCCACACTGTGGACTGGATCAAGAGGAGACCAGGATTTGGGTCAGTTTGTGGTATTTTTCTTTAAGACATTGAGATTGTGTCTTTTAATCTTTCTCCTTTCAGTTTAACATTTATTTGTAGGTATTATAGCACGGTGGTTAGCACTGCTGCCTCACAGCCAGAAAGCCCTGAGTTCAATTCCACCATCAGGCCGGGCTCTTTCTGTGTGGAGTTTGCACGTTCTCCCCATGTATACGTGGGTTCTCCAGCGTCCTCCCACAGTCCAAAGACATGCAGTTAGTGTGGATCGGTTAACTGGAAACTCTGACTTGCCCATAGGCGTGAATGTGAGAGCGAATGGTTGTCTGTGTGCTACAAAATACAGAACAGAACTAGTTATGAAAAACAGAATTCTTCAGACAGCAACATAAAGAAGGACTTTTGCTTTGCAACAGTCTCACAAATAATGCAATTCAATTTTATTTCATCCATATAGCACCAAATAACAGCAACAGTTGACTGGAGGCGCTTTCTGTTGTAAGGTAAAGACCGAACAGTAATACAGCAAAACCCCCAAAATCAGACAATCCCCTACGAGCAAGCACCTGGCAACAGTGGGAAGGAAGAACCCCCTTTTTAACAGGAAGAAACCAGTGGCAGGTTGGGGAGGGGTGGCCATCTGCTGTGACTGATCGAGTAGGATGGGAGGAGAAAAGGCACAATGTCTTCTACTTCACATTTAAGCAGGGTGATTCCTCTGTGCACTCCAGCAGCACAGCAGCCATGGCTAGGACTTTTATTGTGAAAGGGAGAAAAAAATCAATTTGTGCACACACGAGTGCAACAATTTAGCATCAACTGGTATGTCAGATTAACCCAGTTGTTGAGTGTCATTGTGTGTCTGTGTCCCCACGGTGATGTGTTACATTGCGGTTAATTCGACAAACACAATCAGAGAAACCCCCGGAGACGGTTTGCTGCTCACAGCACATCTGACCGTGAAGCCGGCGTCCTATAAACTGATCTGATGGGTTAATGGACTTGATTGTTGTGAGATGGAGGAGATGAGTTCAGAGGAGGAGCTGGATCATTTCGGTTTGATGGTAACAGATAATGTGGAAAATTGACCCCCGGAGATGAATTTATGGATGCTTGAGTAACAACACTGAACACAACAGTAAATAATGAACACATGAAGTCAGTTTGTTTCCACAGAATATTTCTGATACACAATGAACATAATTCCAAATATTACAGTAAACTGGTGACTGATTGTAACCAACTCCAGTAAAGTTGAACCAATAAAATAGGTGAAAAAAGGTTTATTAACTGAGCGTCACGTGCACTTTGCACCATCGATCACATCCGTGCGAGCGCTCATATTGATGTTTTACATTAAATCTGGGAACCTGAGTGTTTCTGCGCAGCATCAGCACCAACGATGGCTGATTTATTCTCCTGTTCTCATAAAGCTTCTCAGAACTGGGAGCTGCTGATTCTGAGAACTCAGATATTTTCTGTGAATTTCTCCTCGCGGTGAGGAAAACTATCCTGAGAAAGAGAGAAGTTATTCACAGAGAACCCAGAGGTCAGAACCGGAGGAGGTAGGAGGACTTTTAGTGTTTCTTTAGCAGACACGTGAAGGTGATGAACTGCTACGTGCTCGATCGTCAGGGATGATGGTGGTCTGTCCCAACTGCACATACGCATGACCCTCACTTTAATCCTGATAGCGGCTGGTGCTTCGTTTCTTGGTACAGTCAGGAGTTTTTTCTGTTATCGGTCTTATTTTCTTGCTTTTTGGTGGGTTTACCTGCCGGTCAGCTGCCACGCAGATTAAAACTACCAGCGTGGGAACAGCAGTGACTGCTCAGGTGAACCAGGCCGATGCTTTCAAACAGCTTGAAGGTTGAACTGATTCTTTGAGGAAATCATTTTCTTTTTGTACGTTTCATAAACTCTACATTTTGCTCTCCTTCCTGCGTCCATTTTCACTAAGATTTAAATCTAAATCCAAACGTTGAGCATCTTAAAACCATGTTCAGGATTTTCCGATATTCACTATAATGACTCCAGACTTACACTGACTTCCTGTAAGACTCCCGTGGATATTGCTGGAGAATCCTAATGTTTGAGTAAATCCTTTTCATCCACCAGCAGCTCTGCTATTACAGTCTGAGCTTTGCCCTTTTTATTAATTACTTCGTTTTTTAAATTAAAGCGTTACCACCTTATCTCTGTACGAGAGGCAAACGTGTTTCCTGACACAGAGAAACAGGGCACGTCAGTTTGTGTAACTGTGCGTGAACATTTCTACTCACAAATGTCTGGGTCACCTCCACATTACACCTTCAGGAGCTGCTGGGCCTCAGAAACATCCCGTGAAGCTCCTGGTGTGCCGTCTTTGTGCTGATGTTAATGCCGGAGGAGGTTTGGAGCTCTGCAGGGATTCATTATAATAACAGTTCTCACAGCTGATCCAGCAGTGAAGAGAGCATTTCAACAGCTGAGCAACACAGTTAAATTCATTGACCATCCTTTGATAAATGTTTGTAGAGGCAGGCTGTTGTTTATTTAATGTATTAATGAAGGAGGAGTGGAGGAGGCCAAGGCGCTCTCTTTCTCTACACCTGTGTCTTTCACGAAGCTCTTTTACTTATTTAAGACCTTCATAATTCTCCTTTATCTCGACAGGAAAAATAACGTTCCCGAGAGGCTCGAAGTCGACCCGAGCAAGCGCACAGCCGTCGACCTCGCCAACATCGTGCCACGCCAGATCGCCAAAGAAGGGCCGATGGAAACATCCAGACCGGATCCACCAGCCGCCGAGGATCACTTCTCTGAAGGGTTCGTGGACGACCCTGATGTCCCCCCACTCATATAAGAGTACAAGGATGAGCTTATATAACCCTCAGACTGTATGATTGAAACAAAGAGACGGTATATTTCCTTTAAACGGACCTTTACATTTCCTCTGACCTGCAGATGTGTGCAAATGAACCACTGCAGATTTCCTGATGTGTATGGTTCAGTCTGCAAACCTGATGTCTCAGCATTTAATAAATGTCCTTACCACCAGCCTTAAACACATATTAATGAGACACCTGGACATGAATTCAACTGGACAGTTTTATTGTTGGTACACAAAAAGTAAATGTAATTAAAGCTGTGAAGAGGCAGCTTCCACTCAAACACATTTTCTGCCCTTTTTAAAGCAGCTGTAAAGACGACATGGCCGATCGGGGGAGGACTCTGCTCGTTACTGCAGCAGGGCGAGGCCGAGAGCTGAAACGCTGGCACAGCTTTACTGAAGCAACGCAACATCACACTTCCTCACTATAAACATCGTTGTCTAATTCTGTGTCTCCTTTGAAATGATGCATTTGTTAAAAGCCAGCCCTGTTAGGAGGGATGAACAGAGAGACGCTGCTGCTGGTCTCCCTCAAACCCTCGTGTAGATTTCAGCCTGAAAATCAATCGTCTGAGTTCTGCCTGTGGCCTGGTTGCCGTCTTGGCTGCCGTTGTGCGTTGCCCTGCTGTGTTTTCTCTTTTTTTGTGATGCTCCTCCTCAAAGCTCAGAAGCTCGCTCACTCTCTGCGCCCGGCTTTGATCAGAGAGCCTGTGCTTTGTGCCCGGAGGACGCCGGTCCAGGCATATTCTGAAGCTTGTTCATCTCTCCTTGAAGTCTCCTGGGTCTCTGCTTTCCTCTGAGTTGTCACCCCAAAAAGCTCGGAGGTGACGACTCCTCCTCCTCCTCCTGGCTCCGAGCGCCGTTACAGCCGCAGCGCCTTGAGAACTCATTTTGGCGTTGGACCATTTTTCCTCCCGACAGCCTCGCTCGTCTTTTATCATCCAGCCTTCTATATTTGGACTCCGTGGCTCGAGCCATCTGGGAGATTTGGATGTTTGTGGTGCGGCTGCAGGAGGAAAAGCCTCTGTGATGCCATCTTCGATTTGAGTTTTTAATATAAGGACTTATTGTTGTTCAAACACATGTAAACTGCAGCGAGCAGGCGCCTTTAATGAGCCTCCTGGACCACAGTCACCACACTTAATCATAGGTTTTGCTTTTATTTCAGTTCAGACTGAAAGGTTTTTATGTTTAGGTAACGATATAATGGATTTCTTATTAAAACAAGTAACTAAACAGCCAGTTCACAGAACACTTTAACATTTTTATATCATCGTTTCTTCCTGAAGTGAAAACATGAATATGTTTACTGGGTTTCCCTCCAGCCAATCATCATCCTGCAATGAAATGTTTCACGCCGCTGTTTAAACATTGAAACACGACAGCTTGGAAAGTTTCCACATTATTTTCCTTCGACCCAGATCTGCGGTCTGTGCTGCACTGGCGTCTGCTTCGCTTCATTAATTATTGATAAATGAGCTTCCCTCTCTGTCGTGTGGCTGTGCAGACAAGACGTTTTCTGTTTGTGCTCACTGTTTTTTCCTGTGTGATGAAACAAACCAACACCACCGCCGGCCTCTGAAATACGCCCTCGAGGTTCAGGTTGCTGCGAGAGTTTCGTGCGTCAGTGGCAAATGCTCCATTAGTCCCATTTAACAGCTCGTTTAGCTCCTCGTCGTTATCACGGCTGAAGCGTTTCAGTGTTTCTGCCTCTCCTGACTCAGGTGTGTTGTGGTTAACTGGTGTTCGATTGGTGGATGCTTCCTCCATGATGGAGGTCTGAGGCAGCGGTCAGCTGATTCCCTTACTCTGTTCCTCTGTCTGTATCATTGCTGCTGCTGCCTGAGCCTAAACCAGGTGAGCGTGTTCAGGCTGTTATCCGTCATCACTGCAGGTAAAGGTGTTCCTGTCCGCTTTGACTTCCCTGCAGTGAGAGAGGACACTGCACACTCGTTCACTAACAGCTTGTCAATAACACTCTAGACACGCCAGAAATCAGTCTTTTTGTCTATTTTACTCTCATTTGGAGCAGAATTTGTAAATGAACCTGTAAATGATTTAAATGAAATCTGAAACTAACGAATGGCATCATAAACTCATGTGGAGAGAGTTCACAGAGGTCATAAATCACGGGAGAAATCAGGTCATTTCCTTTTCCAATGCTTGCCCTTCATTTTCCAGCCAGAAGAGTCGCCCCCTGCTGGCCATTAGAAAGAGTGCAGGTTAAGGATTTTCATGAGGTTGTTGTCATCAAAGTGAGAAATAGATGGAGATAGATCAATAGCCTGATAGGCTACTGTAAAAATGCTGGAAAGACAAAATGCCAAATAATCAGGCCCCATCTTATCCTAAAGACCTCGTAGTACCATATGACCCCATCAGAGCTCTTCGCTCTCACACTGCAGGTTTACTTGTTGTATTTAAAAGTAGAATGGGAGGCAGAGCCTTCAGTTTTCACCCCTCTTCTGTGGAACCAGCTTCCAGTTTGGATTCAGGAGACAGACACTATCTCTACTTT